CACTGTGCTTATTATCTTAATGGTGTGTGTATTTAATGTTTTTTTCGGACCATATGTTTCGTATTGTATCACGTCTGAAGGGATCACCGTCACTGTGCATTCGTTTTTTAAGCGAATTATTAATAGATAAAAAAAGTGCATCGATGAGGAAATATTCAAAACTAAATGTTCACTGTTTCCCGCGCACATGATTGTAACAAGATACTGTTAACGGTTAATTTATTTATTCTTATGGTTTTATCCAAGTAATAACAAAACATTTATCAAATATAAACATAAATAAACAAAAAATGTAGGATGAATATAATTATAAAATATATCTATTATAGCTAACAATAAATAAATGTATATTGTAAATTTAATAAGAATAAGGATCATACTTATTTTTCCAATTCGGTCAGCCATCGGTTAGCAATCCCTTCCAATGCATGTAGATTTTTTGTGCCTCTTGGGAAATAGTATGCTGAACATTTATCAACGAGATGTTTCATTGTCTGGATCATTTCGTCAACCTCGCATAGTTCTGAATCTGTCAAATTTCACTTGTTCATTAGTTAGTTTGACCTCCCTTGCCCGCAAAAAAATGCGATTGAGTCCCGGCCACTCTCTCTTTTGAAAGTTAAATCCTGGAAGTTTCGGTTCCTCAACAAGATCGTAGTTATAAGGCCTTTTCATAATCAATTTATTTTCGATTGCTCTTTAATGGTATGAGATGTACTGGTATTGTCCGATCATCCAAGATTTTATGATTTCAGTCTTATTGGTAGCAAAGATGATGAGAGTTTGCACGTAGCCTATCCTGCATACGACGTAATCTCTATTCTTTAAGCCGTATCAATGTCTTCGGCCTGGTGCTGTATAGGTCCTCGATCATCACAGCTTTTCCAAGGAAGTAACTATTAACGGTATAGCTTATAAGCACATTGGTTATACCAGCTTTATCTCGACAATGGTGTCAACTGACATTTTATCATTTGTATTTAAATATTAAGTATACATATTTAAAACGTATACAATATGTAACACAATATATCATTCGTTTCGGTGATGAATCAAATGTTTCTTTTTAAATTTGGTTATTTTTACACAAACAATTTCAGTTATTTTGTATACTATTATTATTAATTCATATTCATAATTTCATTTTAGATATTTTCAATAAATTGACTGGTTAAAATCCAGTGGAAATATTTTTTTTTCATAAGAGATTAAGGTACTGAGAATAGTCGTATGACGTTATCGCAGTCCGTGTTCGTCGTAATTACATATTATGTAAGATAAAGTTGCACGCTCTTTATACAATAATTTACAAACCAACAATATTTAATTTTTTTTGTTTAATTTATGGATAAATGTGCGATTTTATGTGGTACTGGCTTGTTATAGGCCCGCCGCTGCGAGTGAAAACTTTATAGCTCCTCCACTCAGATTAATTATCTCCTCGCCACGCATAATAATAATAATAATAAATTAATCATATAAATACAAAATAATGAGTTCCTTTATTGATATTTATTACGAGAATATGGATTTAAACTTTATCAAGTTAATCATTGATACAATTTCGTGGACCCTAATTTAAGAGCCCACACACAAAATGTTGATAGAATGTGGAATTCGGCCAAATGGGGCAGCCAAAAACGTAAAGGAACATATTTTTTAGACTCGTACATGGCGGAATTTATATGGTGATCAAAAAATAATAATAGTGATCCGTTTAAAACGATTTTATAAGATGTAGCAGAATTTTGAGAATCACGGAAAGCATAAACATTTTTTACGTTTCTTAACATTATTTCATTTTTATTATTCCAATGTTTTAATTTTATTTTTTTTTTATTTTAATATTACATCAATATAACGTTGAACTATTGAATTAATAAACATCAATAAATAAAACCCATTATTTTATATTTATACGATGTATTTCTTATTATTATGGATGACGGGGAGATGACAAACCTCGGGACTTTAAATTTTTCACTCGCCGCGACTGGGCTATAACAAACCAATACATTTTATTTATTAAAAACAGATGTATCACTACAATTATTTAAATTTAACGTTTAGATTTTTAATTATAGATTAATAAAAAGTTAAATATTTTCAGCAACATAATGTTTGTTCACTACAATACAAGCCGTTAGTTAGAGCATTCGAATTGCCCAACCACAATTATTCCTCTGACCATTTAGTAATGAGAAATTTAATTTTTCCTATAAGATAAATTTTTTGATTAGTTTTATTAGTTAAAAATTCTATGGTCTCAAGAAACACGTTGATATAGAACTTCGTGGTAGTTAATTTTTCCATTTTTAATAATATAATTTAGATTATTTCTCTAACTCTAATGGTATTTAATTAAATTATTGTTTTTTTTTTTTTTGCTTTTAAAATAACTAATAATAATAATTATTTATTATTTCATATATATATATATATATATATATATTTTTTTTTTTGAACTAAGCATAATAATTTCTGATGACATCCAATTTTTTTAAACTATCATATTTACCATAAAATTAACTATTTTATGACTCTAACTAATTATAGCAATAAAAATACATACATATATTATATCTATAATACATAATATATATATACATTGTACATAGTATATGACACGAGTATATAATGCACGTGTTTTGTGTAAAACACTTTTCGTGAGAATAAAATAGTGTTTTGCTGATCTGAAATCTGATATATCCCAAGTCACACATAAATGGTTATACAGTAGAATCCGCTTCTAGGGAACATGGTTAATTGATACAATCGTGTTATTGAAACAAAATATCTAGGGGCCAGCAGTATATTAAAACATTGAAAATTAATGGGATTATTGAAACAATTAGGGCCAAGGTCAATAATAAAATCCAGTTATTTGGCTATAACCAATACACTGTAATTAAAATTATATATAATGTACATCATTCTGTATCTTTGCGATCGATAATGAATTTCACTGGTCCAACTTTAATATCTTTATTATTTTTTTTTTTTACTGTTCTTTGTCGTAAATATGGTACCTATACTTTATAGTTCTACTTGGTGTGTATTGTGACTTTCGAGGTAACGATATAACAAAAAAAGTAATCATTCTTGATGGTCTTCATCTAGCAAAGGAAACATGGAGCAAGGTAAATCTGGAGGCAATTCGAAATTGTTTTCGTCACAGTGGATTCAAAACAGGTGACGAAAACGAACACAGTCTCCTTGAAAAACCAGTCAAACTCACGGAAGAAGTGTATGTAGATTGTATTGATGTTACAAATCCTTAAAATATTGAACAGACTGCCACTTATGATAAAGAAGAAAACAGCGAAAGCAAAGAAATTATGGAAGCTTTCAGTGTCTTCAAAATATCAATGCAGTATCGTGCGGATGAAAAAAACTTTGAAAAACATAATTTTTACGAAACCATGGTTAAGTTACTCGGCGCAAAAAAAGACATCGATAATTAAATATTTTACATAGTAGAGAAAAATGTTTTTCGTAGAAGATACTTTTAAAACTATAGAATTTTTTTTTTCATAATAAGCAAAACCAATAATGTTCTTGATAAACGATTTTTACTGTATTTACGGTACAATAATATTTATCAAATACGCAGAGGGATTCGTTTTGGTGGAAGCGTGAACGTGGACTTTACAATCTCGGATCGCAAATCGTGAATGTATTCAACACGGATACTCGTGCAAACCATTTGGTTTTTTACGTATATTTTATTATATGGTACATATGTGTGCCCATAAGTTGAAGACTTGCGACGGCTTTATGGACAAATAAAACAACCAAAAAGTAATTTCAGCGTCGCATTGTTTATTTTTTACCGACAACGACATAAACGCTCTGTATATTCATAACACTGCACAAGCACACTACTACTACTATACACTGGGTGCCATGTAATATATTATTTTATACGTATACGCAACGACGGGGTCGAGCGAATCTACGTAAAATGAAACATCTTCGTCGACGGCGAGATTTCATTAAGCTCTGTCAAACAACGCTTTTACGACATTATTGTTGCCCGTCAAATCCTGTCGTCGTCGTCTAATGAAACTCTTGGCCCGCCGTCGTGATGGCATCGCTGTGCAAATTATATAGAAAAGAAAAATCATTTCACCCCAAAGAGGGGTACTTTTGCCACGACGGTGGACGGCTGTAAAACAACGACCAAACTACCCTTGACGTTAAAACCCACTAACACACGTGTATAAATACGCAATTTTAGAGTTATGCAACGTAGGTACTCGGCGCACAATATATATTTATGGTTTTGATGAAACCCTCGTTCTAGGCATATCGAAAAAAAATGTAATTAAATAAATTTTTTACGATTTACACACACTATAAAGTTACATCATGTTTTTAAAACTATATTTAAAATTATGTAAAACCATTACTGGTTTACCGTTACCGCTCGAATGTTTTCCACGTGCACATTTTTCTTTTTTGTCAGTCACCATAATTTTCCAATTCGAAACATATTACAACAACATACAACCGTGAATCATATCATTATTTTGCATAAACGTGAAACACCTAAGTTTATTCTAATATAATAAGTTTACCTTTGCTACGGAAAGAACCTTGACAAAAAATGTATTCATAATATTATTTGATGGATCGTTAATATTATTCGCTCCACTCATATTCAATTGATTTAATTGAAGTATTTGATTCATTAGGCTCCTTAAGTTCTAACTCTAGTCCTGGTCCCGATTTTATTCCTAACATTTTCCTAAGGAACTGTAAATTTGTGATTTCCTTTCCGTTACATTACTTTTTCAATTTATCACTCTCTCTCGGCATTTTTCCTGATTATTGGAAAACTAGTTTTATTCGACCAATTCCTAAGTCTTCTTCTGATTTATCAAATATTGCAAACTACCGTCCAATATCCTTGCTTTCTCTTATACCTAAATTATTTGAATCTATAGTAGCAAATAAGATTTTGCCTGTTTTAAATCATGTAATAATTGATGATTAACATGATTTTCAACGAAATAAAAGTACAATTACTAACTTACTTAACTTTCAAAATTTTTTTATCTGACGCCCTTTATCGTGGATCAAATGTTGACGTCATATACACCAACTTTGCTAAGGTATTCGATAAAATTAACCATCAAATCCTGTTTTCAAAATTGAAATAAATTGGTATTTGCGGCTCTTTTTTATCCTAGATAATCTCCTTTATTGAAAATCGTCAGCAAATCGTAGTTTACAAAGAATTCTTGTCTATTCCAGTACGTGTTACATCGGGAGTTCCACAAGGGTCCCATTTAGCGCCAATACTATTCCTTATTTTTATTAATGACATTCTATTTCAAACTTGCTCTGAATTAATGTTTGCAGATGATATAAAGATTTTCCGTACAGTTAATAATCAAAATGAAGCTGATTTACTTCAGCTTGATTTAAATTATCTCTATGAGTGGTGTACTTACAATAATTTTACTCTTAATATTAATAAATGCCAATTAATGACATTTTCCAGAGCTCGAGTAGTTTCTTTTTTTGATTATAATCTCAATGGTGAACCATTACTTCGGACTTTTGGGCCAATTAAAGACTTTGGTATTTATTTTGATCCCAAACCCAAATTTGACTGTCATATTACGAACATAGTTAACAGGTCAAATAAAATCCTTGGTTTTATCTATCGTAATTGTGCTGATTTCGATGATTCACTTGCTTTGAAGTCAGTATATTGCAGCTTGGTTCGATCTATTTGTGAGTATGGCTCAATAATATGGTCTCCATACCAATCGGGTCATAAACATAAAATTGAAGAAATTCAACACAAGTTCTTACGTTTCCTCTCGCATAAATGTTCCATAATTAGAGAACCCCATTCTTCTTACACTTCACTATTAACGTTTCTTAACATCGAAACACTTGAACAACGTCATTTGCGATTAGAATTGTATTTTACCTATAAACTCCTTACAGGACTTATTGACTGTCCTGAGTTTCTATGTCGTTTCTCCTTCCACACCCCATCTCGCAACTCCTGACCTAAAAACACTTTTTACCTCAACACCGAAGTAACTAATTACGCAAGCAATAATCCTCACAATTGAATTTAAAAACTATAAATAAATTAAATATCGATATGTTCATTTCACCAAACTTTAACTCATTTAAATTGTATTGTAATTTATTTCTTATTAATTCATAGCTTTAAGTATATATATATTAATTTATATTGTACATTCATTGTATTTTTTTTTCTCTCTTTATCTTTCTCCTTATTGCTTTTTGTTTATAATTATTAACCAGTAATGAACGATTGTTATTATTATAATTATGTATGTAATTGGGCTTGGCCCGTTTAAAACTTTAATAAATAAATAAATAAATAAATTAGTATGATAATTAAAAATTGTATTTACGATAAAACCAAAACTTATACTTAAACATAATATACAATTCCTAAAAGAAAAATTATTTTCCAAAAAGACGACTTTTATTCGTCTCATATATGTAAAAAGTTTTTATTGCTTTATTTAGTGATACTAATATAGGTATAACATATCTGTTGGATTACCATATTACGTTTAATTGTATATGAACAGCGATGTGGTCCTAAAAAAAGTCCTGAATATACGCCGATCATTTGTAAAATATATAATTTACGTCAATTCAACAATATTTATCTAGATCAGAGATCCTCAAACTTTTATAAACACTGTACTCCTTTTCATCAATAAACTTCTTCGGGTAGCTCTTCTTAGTTAGAAAAACTAAAATAAATATAAAAAAATTTAAAAACTTAACTATATTTTTATTTCGTTAAAAACTAATACACAAAAAATGTTAAAAACAAAAAGAGCTTACTTTCAAAAAAAAATTAATGAAAAGGGTTAGCTTGTTTTTCTTGGCACAGTTGATAAATTCGGTTCTAATTTAGTTAAATACAATCTTAAATCATCTTCAACATTTAACTTGTTTCTATATTTACTTTTAAACTTGAACAACCTTTTCCACATGAATAATTTAAATTTAAAGGTTTGTTGGCCAGACTCGTACCCCTTAAAAAATCTTGAGTACCCCCAAGGGGTATACGTACCACAGTTTTTGAACCACTGATCTAGATAACCGCGTTCAACACAGTATAAACCAGCGTTTCTTAAACTTTTTTATCCATGGAACCCTTTTTAATGTCCACATTTATCGTGAAACCCCTACTTTTTTATTTAGCTTTTTAGCTTTTTTAAGATTATTTTTAAATACATTATAACGATATAATAATATTGTGTTAAAGGTATATTATGAGTTCGAAAAATATGTTAAAATAAAAATAAAAATAATAATAATTGTATACATATATATTATAATAATTTCATAATAATTACTTTAATTAGACCAAATAAATTTAGTCCAGCGATTTTCAAACTTTTTTTCGCGTACCACAGGAGTATATTATCAATCAGTCACGTACCATTAATAATTAAAAATAGAACCATACAAACTTCACATAATTAAATATATTTTAAATAAAAAGGCAGTAAAATACTAAAATATAATTATTATTTATTTATTATTACAAATTCATTAGTATTTTTAAATTAATATATGAGATAAATATTGAAATTTTAATTTCCGTTCGACCACTATGCGGCCTTTCACGTACCACCATGTAGTCTTTCGTACCATTAATGGTACGCGTATCCCAGTTTAAGAAACGCTGGTATAAACTATGATTGGTGAGATTCAAATATCATCACAAGTCTAATAAATTATTTGGTAACGACGTTTAAAAGCTTTTCACGCAATACAATTGAAAATAAACGTGTTAAGTAATAACAACGACATTTTCTTTGGCAATTATAACTGTAATGCGAGAACCAGCCCGTTTCATATACAAATTGGCTAACCGTTCATTATAAACCGGTTGAATATTTATGAACGTTCAAGTATTTTTACTTTACGTCTAATCGGTATAAAAAATATACCTGGCTGAAATCGATGTTGCTCGTTGGTGAGATGTAGCTGTACAGTTCCAGTAAATAATGGTATTGTGTTGCGGCAGCGTTCTCGAACACCGATGCAGAGTAGAACGTCCATTGTGCCCGGAGTAGCTGTCTTATTACAGCAAGAAGTATTGACAAATCTCGGGTCAATGATATATCGTCAAGTTTCGTAGGACAAAAAACTTTCTTCGTCGAAATACCGAACCGGGATTTCTGTTTTCAGACGAGTTTTTTACGAGTTGCACATTATAATATATTATGGTCATGGCATATCGGTCATGCGTGGTAGCAAAAAAGCACGGGTCGGTATAGTTTTGAGATAGGGGAAGAAAAAATAAATAAAAACTTTCTACGTTTGCCTACTACTATAGTTAGTCTACTTCCGTTTACCGTGCTCGGCTGGACAAATTATTTATACAACGCACTACAAATACAAAATATGTCAAATCGTAATTTAATTTATTTCGTCGATTGGGAAATGGATGGTTTCTTCACTATAAACGAGTTCAGCAGCTTCGCAGTTCAATATATTATTATATTAATTGGTGTTCCGTGATGAATAAAATGTCTATAATACGCCGTCGTACTGATTGTACAAATATAATCAATTGGAGACAGTATTTTTGAATTTTCAATCACCAGTCGTTCGGTAACAAAATGGTGTACATGGTTTTTTAGAAAATAATCGGTTGTAGTGCATTCATCCATAAAACAGTGATAGTTATTAAATTAGCGCTGCGTAGCGTACGTCTGTCAAAAATATTTTTCTGTGTGCAATGCGAAAAAGTAATAATTTTACATTAAATCATTCTATACAAAAATATTAAACGTGTTTTAGAGAGCCGATGTACAGATTGATGTTGAAAGTCATATCTCAAAAAGGGTGGGGAATTAATAATATTATAACAACATTTTATTCCGGTCTAAAAAAATAATGGCTTCATTGTGCGCGCACAATTAAATTGAATGAATATTTATTTAAAACAATATAAGAAACATTATGGAAACAGCGTATAAATGGCTATGAAAACGAAGCGTACAAAATGCAATGAGATTGTCAAGAAGCATTACAAAGTTGCGTAGAGTAAAAGCAAATAAAAAAAAATAAAACAACTGTCAAACTTGTTGAATTATATTCATTTTGCGAACAATATAATATAATTAAGGCAACTTCAAGACCAATTGATATGTGTTGCATTATGTTGAATTTTTAATATCTGCCACAAGGGTGCAAAGAATTTATGTAAAATTTAAGTTCTACGTGCATACAATTAATGGCTGGTTAACAAAATCGTTTTGGGATCTAATGAAATAAAATTTATTTTTTCCTGTCTGTATTTTGAAAAAGCATTTTCTTGAGTTCCTGCTGGTATATTTCAAATTTTTTTTTAACCAAACGAATAATATTCCTATAACACTCATCAATTTGCGTATTTTTTATAGATATACAATGATGTACATTGATGTACAATGATATGGCAAAATTGTTCATTATAAATACAAAGAATGATATGAATAAAAATATTTGAATTATTTTTAAAACATTTAAAGTACACTCAACTACCTATCAATACCGTTAGTACGAAATACTATATATTATTTTTCATGGTTAAAAATGCCTTATATTTTTTGAAAATGTCTTTTATTACAATACATGATTCATATTTAGTTTTCTTCCTGCAAATGTCTTATGTTTGTCTATTTATTATAACTTCTTTCTATTGTTACTATTGAAAATTACTGGTGATCTAGTAGAGAAAATATAAATCATCAAATCTATTAAACTAGATACTAAGTACGATGTTAATATTATTTCGAATAAAAATTGTAAATAATGTGAATTTGGTAAACGTAACCAAAAAAGTGTAGTTATATTCTAAAATATAGAAGCTTCATTTTATTTCCATAACTAACTTATATATGTGTGAAATTTTTTATTTTGCCGCTCCTGCATTTTGTTAAAAATAAATTCACTTAAATCAATCTATAGTTTTCATTTTTTCATTTGACGATTACGTAACTTTCGTTTTAAAACTTTCAGGTTACTTTAATTTAGGTAACAACTGCGTTATAAGGATCACATTATTCTGCACTGAATCACGTTGTACGATGCTCAGTGGTTATGGTGGTGACATAATATAACACAATAAATTATTCAAAGAAATATTTTGGCCTAGAGGACGAAAGTATAATATCTTAAAAATATAATATATATCTGACCTGTATTAAAAGGACAGTCTTACGGATTGGACGAAAAAGAAACTCAAATATTGATTTGTATAAATACAATATAATTATACTATACGTTAATTTCTTTTTTTTTTTTTATATATATCAGAATTTTTACAATCTATACTTTTCATTACAATAATTTCTAGTAAAATGATAAATTTAAATTTAAATTTTTTTGAATTATAATACTTTTCATGTTTTGTAAAACTAAAACAAGTATAACCATAAGGAGCATAGGCTTGCGCATGGGGGTGGCCGGGTGAGCCACGGCCCCCCCTGCGGACTCTGGCTTTTTCTTTAATAAATGTATATCTATACTATTCAAGACAGCGAACATTTTTACATTTTACATGAATAAAGTAAAGCCAGTTTTAATCTTATAGTATAGAATTGATATTTATGAATAAATGTAATCAAGTTATTAGTTATTAATCAGACTAATCAGAATTTGCATATAATATAAAAATTGAAGATGTAATTGATACATTCAAAAACCTTACTCCCGTGAACAGAAGGATGGAGTAAATAGTATAATAATATGTAAATAAGTATTTCTTAGATATAAATTGTGCAAGTTTAAATAGTATTTAATTTTTTATATTTGCATATTGAATTAAATAAATAATTTTTAAATTTAAAATATTTAATTATACTAGTAGTCTTTAGTACAAGAATCTTTGGTCCACTTTTTCAAGGGACCCTCCCTGCGGACAAAGTTTGCGCACACCTATGATGAGGAGGAAAGTCTACAGTTGAAGAAGCATTCAAACTATGAAGAATACGAAATAAATATATGATTCAAAATGCATATTATGACGTATAAGAATACTTATATATTATAATCCGCCAAACCCGACACCAGTATTATTTTAGTTAATGGGGAGAGGTCGATTGTATGGTATAGTATAATAATGGTTTTAACGTTAATCATCCAGTGAATGTAAAAATTAACCAACAACTGGTATATAATATACAACGAGAACAATTAAAATAAAATGTACAAATCAATTTATAAAGTATACGTATACTATTTAACGTGTAAATTTAGTAACAATACGTCGTCATGCTATCGTTTAAAACTCGACGGAGCCATAGAGGAAAAGTTTTTTTTATATTGTATGGACAAGAGAACAGGGAGTACTAGTGGCAGGAAAGTTGCTTCAGGATGGGTTTCTGCGAAAAATGTAAATAATATAATATCCGTCGACCTTTAGGACGAAAGATGTGTTTTGATTATTCAATGAAGCAATTGTTGCGTGAACAATCATAAGACTTGTATGCATACACACACACGCGCACACACATACACCTACACATGTTTATATTGTATATACTATATGTTTGAATCTATATACGTATAGAAGCATATGTGTGTATATGCACGTGGTTGCGTCGGTAGAAGCGGACCCTAGTATAGCTGCGGGGAGGTGGTTAGGAGAGGATGTGTGTACTAGAAACACTGAGAATAAGTAGGTTATAAAGCGGATTTAAAAGCCGCGGGTATTTCAACGGCCGAGTAGTTCTCCGTTGAAACACGATTCTTAGACTTATATAACAGCATTGTTGAGCATTCCGAGAAGTATGCAAATATCTTATGGCAATATGAAAATTTGTGTATAAAATAAGAGAGAAAAAAACGTTTTGCTTGCTTTATTGTAGTTATTATAGTTATGCAGCCGCATGTAATATATTATGATGCAATAATCGTATTGCAGATAAATGGGTAAAACATTTATCCGGAACGCAGTGCTTGCGTTCGTATATTGCGAATGTGTAACCACACTTGTCCTCATCAAGCTGATACATTCTGGTAGACGTACTGAAAAAAAAAATATGAATACCACCAACTCAGATAATTGGATGTAGGAAATTCCGACTCGGAATAGATGAGCAATAATGAATAAAAAAATTTAAAAAAATCTTTCCTTGAACAAAATGTAAAATTTCTCAATGAATAATTGATAGAGTTCTTTTTTCTTAGTGCTTGTCAAATTATAGAAAAACCAAAATGATTTATCAATTATTATTGAATAACAAATAAATTACATTAATTAAGTGGTAATAAATGTCTTGCACTCAATTTCATCGAATTTTAGTTGCTTGAAAAATCAAAACAAAAAAGAACCTATACCCGTGCAATAAGATTCTGGATAAGTGCATCTCTTGAAAAAGCACAACTCTAATAAAATTCTCAACATGTTCAATTTAGTAAGAAATATTTTGGTAAATAAAATAAACGAATCAACAAAACGAATCAATTAAAACGTTTAGTAAATTTTAAATTATAATAAAAAAAAAAAAAAATTGAGTTACAAGAATTAAAGACTGATATTTAACGCCTTTTAGACCCCCGAAATAAAAAGTCACTATCAATAGGAGTGAGATATTACAAGATAATTAATAGCATATTACTTGGAAACATGCTTCTCGATGTACGTCGCTTCGCACGAAGAACAACCGGTCCGCAGACACGTGGCTCGAGATGACCATCAGCACGATTTCGCTACCCACGAACTGTTGATACTCATCTTCGGATCCGTCTAGAAGCGCAGTTTTTACATTTCCCAATGGCACGCTGACTTCCATTTCCGTCAGCGCTTGAATCGTAGTGATCAACACGTTATTCTGTCCAAGTTGGCTAAAACGAGAAAACCAATGAAAACGAGTGTTAACACGAAGTCAGTACATGACTTCAATGTATGGTTTTATAAAGACAAAAAATCATCAGATCTGTACGCTTACAAAAATATTGGTATAAACACGTGTTAAAATATAAACTAATGATTAGTAATCATTTTCAATTTACATTTTTGCCACGGGAATTTTTAACATATTTAAATCCAACCATAAATAAACGACAAACAGAATTCAATTAATGCATTTTAAAATTTTATGAACATGAGCAGTCATCGTCCTCGGGATGTTTAAATTATTCAACCAATAAGTACACTAGATAATTTATAATTTTTTAAACATGAATAAATATTTCAATAAATACACCCAAATTCTTTAGAAAAAGCATATTCATATAAACTATTTTCTAGTTGAACAAAAAAATATTAAATAACAGCTTTTCTCATGAAACAACAGAATTTAAAATTGATAAAATATTGAATTTCACAGATTTTTGTTTAGTTACCACATTCGGCATATTTTTTTCGACCATTTGAAAATATACACTGATGGCCACGTGATTTTATTTTCTTACGCCTCAACACAAGAATATAGCCAATAGCAGTTATTGATTTATTATCGCAGTCTTCGATGATGTTTATTTAGGAAAATGGGGCTTGTTTAGTGTGCTTCATGATTCATGGTGCATTACTACCATATTATAAACATTAGAACTGTGATCGTTTTTCATGTATTATATCGATCTAATGGAAATATAATCCACATTCTGTACTTATTGAGTATGTAATTTTGGTAAAATTGATAATCGAAAAAAAAAATGAGACATAAAATGTCCAACCAGAACCAAACAGCTATTTTGTTATGATATTCTTCTCAGAACCGAATTGCTATTGTTTTTAGAATCTAGATGAAAATTGATTTACTGCCTTCATAAAATATTTATTTCACCACCACCCTGCGTTTATGGATAAACATAATGAATAAATACATTTTTTCCATATCCCATTGAATTTTTACTTTTCATTTTTTTATTCGTTATTGCCCCGTGGTCATGTAACAATATTGTTCATACCAGTGAACAAAAACATTAGCAAATAATATTTTTACATCAACAGATCATCAGTACGCATTAAAATACAGGTACCATAATAGATGTAAGTAATGTTGGCTGACGTTTTTAGATGCAGCTACAATTAAAGCTTCAGGTCCCAAATTGTACGTAGCCTTTGGAATGTTTGATACGAAAATCATCAACGTATTCGGTGGATCCTGTGAAAAATATACCCATTATATTCTGGAGGGAGAAGAAATCGTACTTTCTCCAATCCATGAGCATCAATAAAGCGTACATACCATGCAATAGTCCTTTAGTTCCGGTTTTTTCAAATTCTCCTGGCAGCCTTCAAGTTTACAATGCAATTTAAAATAATTATTCATTTCTTTTTCCAACAAGGTATTGTCCTTCCGAGATGAGTTCTAAAAAAAAAAAAAAAAATTAACGGACAAAAATCTATTATTAATCAGTCATATCGTCAAACACTTATTACAAACTTTACAAACTGTGTTTCAATGCATTATACCTTCAAAATGTCCTCTATTTTCTTTTCGTTTTCCAGCATTTCGATTTTTAACTCTTCGATTTTCGAGGCGAGCATTTCTTTATTTAATACCAGCGACTGCAGGCCATGATATTTTTTATTTGACATGATTGACACTCTGAAACCAAAAAAAAATAACGCTGTCTTAATATTTTATAAAAGTTTTTTTATATATATATACTTGCTATGCGTTTTTACGCGGTAAATCATAAGTTTTAGATACTTAACACTTAAATTCACATCAAGCACATGCAATGTTAAGCACTACGTATTATTATCCTACTAAAACAGGATTGAAAATATAAATTTATTCTTTTCAATTTCAAAAATTCATTTAGTTTCAATAAAAAGATACGAAATGGAGAGACGAAATACATTACACGCACACCCAAAAAATACGTATATACATTATATAGTTTTTGGAAAACGAACGTTATTTTACTCAATAATGATATTCAGAGACCACAACAGTGACGAAATTCTACTGAATAAAACATATTCACACACTTCAAGTAATAAAATGGCCGCAATGGTCGGAGGAATGTTATTTTTCAACCGACATCATACGCATCAAAATTGTTCATACTAAGTGTTGATAACTTTCTTTTTTCTTCATCGTATATATATTACTTACAACAAATCCATTTTTAAATTATATTTAAAACAAGTTCCTTTATTTTATTGTATGTACAAATCCCTCGAAACACAAAAAAAAATTATTAGCCAAAATTAAACTAAAAGCCGTACTATAATAAAAACACTTAACATTTTTCCGTATTAAAAAAGTATAGCATAACAATTCAATATTCAGTGAAATCAATTTTATGTTATAAGTTTAAATATTAGAGTAATCCAACCGATTTTCAAATTCAAAGGGTGGAACATTATCCGTGTTTATATGTAGGGTTTTTGTTTTAATTTTCAAATAATTTAGGAGTATGCAAAATATTAAAATCTAAAAATAACTCTTTTAGAATTTATAATATCAAAAAATACTAATGTACAAAAACAAATAATATTTTGATACAAATTTGATAAATGGTCAGTAAGGTCAGTTTACTTGAATATTAAAACTAAAAATATAAAATTAGTTATACTAAAAGCAGATTCATTATGCCTTAAGTGTGTAGAAGGTAGTCAACACATACAGATGTGGCGTGTTCTTAATTTATATGTATTCGTGGTTGAAATAAATATCGATCGATATTAATATTTAATTGTACCGCAAAACATATAGAATTATTTGATTTCCAGTGATTTCATAAACATATACTGTTGTAATATCAAATAGTCACTTAATTTTGATAATGATATTATATTAAGGATGCAAAAATTTCATAGAATGTAAAATAAAATACCTTATATTATTTGATATGATATTTGAAATTGTCCGAAAGTATGTATATGACGAAATATTTTATTATTATTATTATTTTTTTTTTTTTGTGACCACGATTTTTAGCCGAATTCGTTACATAAAGTTTCTAACCGTGCATACACCCACTTACGCACACAATAACGTATAATATCTTATCAACTCGGGATTTCTAAAGGACTGGCACATCAAACATTTTCTTTTAACTGAAAAAAATGAACTCGATGCCGTCGCCACCGCGTGCTTTGCTTCCCGCCTTTAATATAAGCACCGAATTCCAATCCTAACCACACCGAGTTTTTTTCTTTTTTCTATTTTTTCCTTCCCTTAACTTTCTTTATCCGCTTTTTTTTTTCCATTCACTACTACTACCACCATAAAAACGTATTTTTCATTTCACCAACGCATTTTCTCGCAGTGGCAGTGATAGTGATGGTGAAGGAAGGGCGTATGCAATTCATAAAAAATCCGATATTATCCGTACGCGTGTATTATGTTCACGTAAAAACGAACACAAACGAAAGAAAAAATCGAGAAAGGGATAGAGAGAGTGTGAGTGAGAAAAAGAAAGCGAGTGAAGGATAAAGTGTCTGAAAAAAACCACCGGAAAGCAGGGGGAAATAATTTCGATGGCTTTATTCAACGGACTACATAATAACTAGAGTATGTATACGACACGGACTAAATTCTTCAAATCTTTGCCCACCCCTTTCGCCAGTAATCGATTAAAAATGCTAATGTGACACATTAAACATATATTACAGAATATACACGAGTATAAATTTATTCAATGGCGACGATTCCCCCTCTCTTTGAGGCAATGATCACGTTTTACCCCCATGTTGTAATATATAGTCACTTTTTTGGTCAATTCGAGTGCCTGTACAAATATATTATGAAATTTATTCGGAAGTAATTGGACTAATCGCCGCTAGTTACTACGCTTACTAAACGAATAAAAAACACTCGCTTTAATTTTCATATATAGGGTAAACATAGCTTACTTATTACAAAACATAATTTCACTAAATTTCTTATACACATACTTACTATGAAAAATTATAAAAACAATATTAACACGATCACAAATACTTCATTTTTTTAATATTAATTATGTGCCTACCTTGAAAAATCACATAATTAGTATTACATTTTAGTTGTCAACAATTTATAAAATTTCCAATTTACAAACCTTTAAAGCTTGAAAATTAAATACAACATTTTTTTCTTACAAAAAAAAATAAAAACAGAAAAAAGGAAAGTCGTAAAAATTATTTATAAGCATTACAAAGTTAAATGAGATACATATTTTAACAAACTTGCGTGAAACAATATTAGTTACGTATTTAAGAACGTTTCGAATTATTTTAATAAAGTTTTTTCTATTCATAGGTACTTACAATTTTCAATTTCCTCGAATTTAAGATGCTTTTTTTTGCAAAAATTATAACATTTAAATTTCAACGCATCTTATTAAGAAATTAGGTTCTTCTACTATATTAATCATCTTAACTTGACTTCTGTTAATGAGAATCGTGGTTATATTAAGAAAACTATTTCATTGCCATAGCATATAAATTAGGATATAAAAATTGATTCTTAGTTAATGGAACATAGAAGTTTGTTTACGATACACAAATATTTAATTTTGACTTAAATATTCATAATAAACATTAAATTTATTTTTTTCAGAAAATTAAAGGTCATTAAAACGGAAAATATGAGGATTATATACTACTGAACGTTTATGCCAATGTTCACACGTAGTTAAATCAAACATGAGTTTTAACTTATAAACTATTATACAAGTAAAAAATATATACAAATCTGATAGATTGACAATTTAAAATTTAAATAGAAAAATATTGAAATAAAGTATAGCACCATATTTTAATTATATTATATTATTACCAAATATATATATATATAACTAAAAATCAATGATTAATATTAATTTAAAACTTAAATTTTATCAAAATTCTGTATGAATATTTACAAATAATATTATTTAGCTTATAATTTGAAATAAGAGTGTTTTAATTGTATGTACCGTTATGATTAAAAAATAAATATAAGAACCAGATTGGTTACAATTTTTTCAATATGTTGTCTTCTACCTTGAATTGGAATACATTTTATTTTAAAATATTTTAAAATTAATTAAATATTAAAAATTGTCAAAATAAAACTACACATATATATTTTAATAGGACAATAATTTATATTTATACAACTTATATTATTTAGGAAGATATGTTTTTTATTATGTTGACGTGCCGAAATATACAATACCCATAATATAATTAAAAAAAATTGTCAAAAAATGAATGAAACAATAGAATAATAATAATTTCATTCAATTACATAAATTATACACAGATTATGTGAAAAATAAAAATCAAACATTATAATCGAATCAACAAAAAAATAAATGTACTGTATATACTAACCTATATATTATATTCTGGCCCTTCTTATAATACATAATTTTTCTAGAATTTGTGTTATTAAAGTTTGAAAATTTGATGTTTTAATTTTATAATTATGAATAATATATATATATATATATATATATATATATAGAAAACACTCACTAATTAATACATTTTAATTAATAAATTATTGTAATATGTTATAAACAGATGTTATAAACTATAAGCTATACTAAGATTAATTATTTTTAAAATAAAATAAAATAACATGAGTAACTAGTCAATAACACTTAATTAATACTCATTAGTTAACTACATCATTTTCTGATTAGGTTTCTTTAAAAGTTTTCATAATTATAAAACGAAACAACAAATTTATAGAAAAGATAATTTTGGTTAATGGATAAACATTAAAACAAACTTTATAAGAATATAAGGTTGCATGAATAAATTTAAACTTAATGAGTATTTTACTTAAGTGTTCCTTTACATTTATATCTTCTGAAAGTCACAGCTTTAGAAGTCTACGAGTACGTAGTTTTTATTCATACCAAGCTCTAGTGAAAATCTTAACTAAAAACTAGCCAACATAGTTTCAGGTGGTTTTATTTATTTTTTATTCACTTCAGGGTTCCTCAATGAAAAACTATTACTCAACTTTGGAAAGTTTTCACATTTTTATTTAATTTTACATATTTCCAAATAAATTTTTATTCTACAGAATGCACCCAATATAAAGTTATTTGTTGTTTTAAATATTCAAATCCTAGTTAAGGAATTTGCAAAAGTTAGACCAAAAACAATCCATTATATCTATTATTTCTATCAGATAAATGTAAATTGTACTATCAAATAAATATTTATATTTATAGTTATTTATTTGAACATATAAAATTACATTTGGACTAGGCACTAATATTGTACGTGTAAGTACTCGTATTTTATCGTCAGTTAATAACAACAAAATTTAAACTTTTAATGATAAAAACTTATTTTTTCGACCATTAAATGCATGGCATGAAATGCATCATAAAAAATGTAAATTATTGCAGCAATTTCGTATTATATACTTTACTTTTTTATACTCATATATGTATTTAATCACTAAACATTTTCATTTGAAACCAATAATAAACTGTTATAGTATCCCAACTCACAAATTATTTTTGTAAACAATATAATTTTTATTTTTCAATAATTTTAAGGTATTTGAAATCAAGTCCGATGTATTATGCTGATTAGCATAACACATCGGGC